CATCCCTATTTATAAATTTATACAACATTTTAAATAAAGAAGTAATTAAATTACAAAAAACAGGCATTATTGCCCTAATATATTCCTTATTAAATCAGTTATCTCACTATGGAAGGGAATCAGCGTAAACACAGGCGAGACGTCCCGCGGATCGCTATTCATGGCCATTGGATCCATATGGGAAGAGGCTAGGATTTAACATTGTCAATGATAGCCGACATAAAAAAACTCCAACTCAAAACCCTCTACTACTGAGGACTACGAATAGACTACCCGAACAAAAAATAGTAAATAGAGATTATATGATGCACATATTATAAAAAGTCTTGGCATACAAAGAAATTATGTTGGAAAATTCATAACAAACCACAAAATAGTAGCACAATAAGGACATGTAAAAGAATAAAAACATGCATATATGAGTAATATGACAAATGTGGAAGAAGGAAACACCAAAAAATCACCAACTCAATTCCACGTACAAGAATAAAAAAGCTAAAAAACTTGCTAGAATCATTGGAAAAATATTTATGGTAGGTACATATACTCTAGTATTCTCATGTATTACCTCCTCTTCTCATGCATTTAAATAATGTCTATGAGATGCTCATTTCTCTCATGGAGAGTTATAGATTACATGCCAACTCCTTACCAAAATTAATTTCAAATGCATCTTGTCCTAGCAATAAGAAAATAACAATTGTCAATAGATCATTGCCAACCACGACCAGTCAAAGAGATATTCTAATAAACAAATCTTCTACAATAAAACCCATTACCCGTGGATCCTCACACTCTGAAACTTCGTGCATGTATCTAAATTATATAACAAACTTTTACACATCTAGAAGCTGGCTAAAGATTCTAAGTGCAATGTTAAGTTTTATCTTTTATAGTGTGCCTTATAGGAAAAGACACAAGGAGGACAATTGAACTTGCTAAAGAAATGAACGGTCTCTACCACCTTGAATTATCCAATGATTAAGAAAATTCATCCTTCAATAGTACATTTTTCTTTCAAAAACCATTAAATCCAATAAAGAAAAGATATGGCTTCAAATCATATATCATGGTCACCAATCATTTACTATTCCTGAAACTATATTTCTTTCATTGTTAATAAATTAATATTATAGCATTTCATTGTGATATTTGTGAGGTACAAAATACAAACATACAAAGTTTTCAATGAGTGCCCAAAGAGCTCTTTTTCATTTTTCTCTCATGCATAGTTGCATATATGGACCATTCTCTACATCTAACATCTATGGGGCTCGATGGTTTGTCTATTATCAATTATTGTACTTACGTATTATAGATTTTTCTACAGAAAGAAAAAAAATTACATGAGTGCCATATTTTCTGTCTTTTACAACATGATCAATAATTAATTCGAAATTGAAATAAAAAGAGTCAGATCCAATAATACCAAATATTATTTTAACCATTCTCTCTCTTCATACTTTAAAGAGAAAAAAATGTAAAAGTCATCTTGTGTGTATAAACCCCAATAAAATAGTGGCCGAAAAAAAGAAAGGCCACCTATTTTCTACTATAAAAGCTCTCATTTCTAAAAGAACGCTCTGAAATAATATTGGGGGAAGCGATTTTAATGACTCATCACCTCATGAAGAAAATGACCAACAAGGGTTCTTGCGTCCAAAGTCCTACAGAAGTCCCAAACAAATTTTTCCTCACATCAACACCTCAAATAACCTTATCCTCAAAATATTTAGTATTGTTGTCTTTGTATAAAAGGATTACTTAAATTGATAAAACTTGATCCACGTGATATTAAACATGTTTTAATTGCCTATTCTCCCACACAAAAATAGTGCAAATGCTACCCCTCACAAACAAGACAGATCAATATATCCATTGATGACACCTTCAATTAAGAGGAGCACTATTTCATTACTAATTATCCTTTGAAAGAAATATCTTTCTCAATTGATGGAGACAATAGTTTTTCTGCTTGATTGTTCTTCACTGCCACTCATCCCAATAAATAACTTTGTTCCATAATCAAAAGCGTATACAAACATCATTCATATCCAAGTTGCGGATGCATTTGAATCATATTCTACTCATTCACTATAGGTTTCTTCAAGAAGAAAGCCACCAATCCCTCAATCTATGCAAGATTAGGAATCAATCCCTATCATTAAACATGTCAAGGAATTATTAAATCTCCAACTAAAAGGAGTCTTAATAACAAAGGCACAAGAACTCCCACAAAACATCCTCTACACTTGATTATAGTATACAAATAATTTATCATAATTATGAAGCCTTCCTTGCTAGCTTGCATTATTTTTATAACACTGCAGCAATTTTTTAGGTATTAAGTAGTGAAATTTAGAATAATGCTATGAAGGAGAAAATGGAAGTTATTAAAAAAAATAAAATGCAGGAATTAGCAAAATTACCTGTTTTTTAAGAAAGAAACCAACGTCATACTCAAATATATGAGATTGATTACCTTGAAACATTTGCTTTGACTGCTAAAATAAACATTATTCAAGTTCTTCAATCATTACAAATTAATATGAACTAAAAATATAACGATTCAATTATAAAAATGTCTTCTCACATGGTGACCAAGAAGAGGAAGAGTGTATGGAGGTCCACCAAGATTTGGTTCAAATATAAAATAAATGATACGTAAATTAAAAGACATTATATGAATTGAAACAATCCCCAAGGACCTAGTAGGCTAGTGCAGATGGTTCTCCAAAGTAATGCTAATCATGAGATACAAACAAAGTTAACAAAACTATATATTATTTGTAAAACACATGGATTCAAAGGAAGTCTTGGCTTTTTTAATTTATGTTGACGGCATTATAATTATAAGTAGTTACTAGAAACTAATGGAGAACTTAAAAAGAAGATTACTAGAAAAAATTTATAGTCAAAGAATTAGACAAGCTAAAATATTTTCTTGGAATCAATATGAAATCTTATATAACATACTTGTTCAAAGATATATGCAAGTCTATCAAGAGCCATAAGTGCCATATGGAATACAATCAAACTTGAATATACTCCATAAGATGCAGTAATTGAAGAAACCTCATATAAAAAAACTTGTGGGTAGACATATATACGTATCAAATACTAGACTAAATATTACATACGTTGTGAGTGTTATGAGCCAATTCATGTACAACCCAAATGAATCAATTCTTACAACAATATATATAATTTTCATAATATTTGAATGAATCCCCAAATAAAGAAATTATATTAAAAAAAGAGTGGTTCTACTTGAAGCATACACAAATGAAAACTATGTAGATTCCTTGAAAGTAACTATGTAGATTCCATGGTAGACAAAACATCAATCTTAGGATACTATACATTCTCATAAAGCAATGCTGTGAGTTGAGAAGTAAAAAAAAAATGCACCAAAAAGATCTAGAACAGAAGCCAAATTTGGACTATGGCACTAGGAATCTATGAATTCCTATGGCTAAGACTCATCTTGGAAGACATAAAGATTGAATGAAAATATCTTATAAGGCTCTATAATGATAACAAGTTAGACATCAACACTGCACAAAATCATGTGCAATATGACCATACAAAAAAATATTTAAAGTTGAGAGACGTTTTATAAAGGAAAAACTTGGTGGTGGTCTAATATGTACCCCCATTCATAACCATACGTGATCAAGTTGTTGACATACTTGCCACAAAATTATCAGGGAAAACCTTTCATAAATGATCGAGCAAGCTTAAAATGGATAACATCCATTTATTTGCTTTTTTTTGTTGGGAGAGGGAGAGTGCAGTGCAAAAATTCACAGACCTGCACCCTTCTTTTGCCTGAGATTATGCCTCCGCCAATCATCACAAGACCATGCTAACTACCTCCCTTCACCCCGCTTCTTTTCACTGCATTTGATCACGCCACTATAAGCTCAAATGCCTCCTCATGGGACCATGCCAACTCACCATTGTTGGTTGTACGTGATGCATGGATGTGTTGTCCTTGCCTTAATTTCAACATTATAGTTTTCCTATTATAATTATTTTGTGGCGATTGTTATCCCTGATTTTCAACCCATAAATCTATATGTTTTATTATTAGAAACTTTCCAAGGGTTGCATAAATTATTGTTATCAACATTCTACAAATGCAAACCTACAACCAAACCTCCCTTCATAGTTCATAGTAATCCTCCATCAAATTAGAAACAGAACATCATTGATCTCCTTCTGTGAGGCAACCTAAACATTGCATGTATGCCATCTCTATAACATTAAATATACTCTGATCAACCCAATTTTGCACTTGAAAGTAAGGGGAAAAAAAAACAAATTAACACACCTTAATAACTTGATTCCAATAAATTATTGATACATTACAAAAGCCAACGCCCTCATTTTCCAGCATCAATAGCATAAATCAACTTGCTTGAAGACTGTAATCATATTTGCAACTAAGCATAAAATTGCCTCCAAGAACCATCGCTTGGAAGTGGATACTGGATGGGGCAACTGTTCATATACTATCATATTTATCCAGAATCATCGAAGAATTCCAATACAATGAGAGTAATAATCAGCATTTCATATAAAAGTTTCCAAGATACAAGATATAAATTTTACACAAGGTAACACTACTCTAATTTCCAAGAATTATCAATCTAGTGCAAAATATAATGAGAGTAATAATCAACGAAACCCAGACCGAAGTAAATATCAAATACCCACATTTCACATTCAAACCAACACCTGGACAGACGAAATTTTTCATCAAAAGAAAAGTCAAAATTACTAAAAAAAAAACCTATAAAGACGTGCATCATCCATCGCAAGGAAGAAAAATCTACATCAAGCCGGGATCCGTCAACCCAAGCAAGAAAGAAAACGCCGAAGCAACGCCCATGCAATACTGCCCCCCTTTCAACAAGACCCAAAATCACAAATAAACAAAACCCTCACGCACACCCAGAAGCCCGAAATAGATAATACTAGTCAAGCGCCCGTACCTCTTCCGGCAAAGAACGCTCGATCCAAATAGGGCACTGCGACCTAAGAGAATCCGCAAGTCCCGCGAGGTCCGATCGAGCGCAGAGCGGCCGAGCCGCGACGGATCCGTAAGCCGGCAGCGAAGATAAGCACGCCAAGAAGGGGATGAAAAGGAACAGCCGAGGTACCGACATGGACGATGAGAGCTCGCAGAGAAGACGAACAGGGAAGTGAACAGGAAAGCAAACGCAAAAAATCTTAAACTGTCTTGCCTGTGCTCTCCTTCCCCTCTATTTCCTCAGTTTGACACTTTTTTCTACTCTCTCTCTCTAGGAAAAAAAATTAAAAATCTTTTCCAATTCTGATTCTCTCTGTGAAGAGAGAGACAGCTGAAAATTGAAATGACCGAAAGCTTCGTTGCCCTTTTTTTAATGCACATGCGGCATCTTTTCGAGCCTGCCGTTTGCCATTTCATGCCTATTAATGCTATAGCATTTTAAAATATTCCCTAAATGATCTAAGCACAAATAGATGAGCTTATATAAAATCTAAAAAATAAAAATAAAGATGCACACACATAGAACTTAAAATTATTTGAATTTTATTATTTATAAAAAAACACTCTATTATCACCATTTAGGGTTGTTATTTGGAGAGATTATTACGTGCAGAGTCCATACCCGATTTGGTTGTATGACTGGGAACAATAAAAGTACAGTTATTGTTCGTCACTGTGCTTTTACTGTATACAATCATGAAACTGAACGATTCTTTGGATCCGGACTCCACACGTAATAATCTCTATGTTACTTGACATTCAGCTTGTCTTGCTAGTTAGCCCTTCCTTATCTACACATCCCATGAACCCCATTAATGTCTTCCCCTGCGAACTCCACATTGATAGGCCAATCTATGTCTTCTCGAAACTTTTCTTTGAGTCATTGATGCTTTTCTATGCGGTTTCTATAATGCTTCAAGAATTTCGATAAGAGTAAATGGGGAAAATGGCTACGAGCAATATAATGGGCAAGAGAACTGATAATGAAGTGTAACAAATTAGGGGCATTGTGATGTGTAATGGGGTTCTAGCAAGGATGTATTTTTTTTTATTTTTTTTTAATATTTTAAAATATATAAATACAATATTTTTTAGTGTTACTTATGTAAATTCTTCAAAAGATTATATCGCATATTTTGATGCAAAGTATGTTATTATGAATATTTTAATTATTGCATTTTTCTATAACATTACTGAAATATTTTTTTTTCATATGCAATATTAATTTAAATATAAATTAAATAAATTTTAAGTCCTTACTAATATATTTTATTTTAGGTTAACTTAGGCAAAACTTCTCAACCAACTAAATTGTAGGATGGTGAAGAAATAAAAGGCTGGAGTTGATTGTTTTGCTTTTTTTTTTTTTTTTCACATAAATAATGAGATAATAGGGTTCATTTGAGGGTATGTAATTTTTATAAATATCATTATAAAATTATTATAAAAAACTAATTTGTTTAAAAATTATTATGGATAACTTAAATATTTGATTGTCAGATATAGCTTTCAGCTAAAAAAAAAAAACTAAAAAACAGAGTAAAAAATGAAAGTGCATATGTAATATTAAAAATAAAGTAATGAAAATGCTACTACAAATAGACCTTTAAATTTAATATATAGTAAAAGTAGTGGTATTAATAAATGACCTGACTCAGTCGAATTAACTTGGATCTTTTGTTGACCTGTTTAATAAATGTGTCAGATTTGGGTTCGAATTTTCAATCTGTTTAGTAATATGTTGTGTTTATGTTGACCCATCAATTCAATATTGATTTAATTTTTTTGCCTTATTTTTTTATTTGTTTATATGATCTCTTTTAATTTTTTTATCAATTTATTTAACAAATTATAAACTTTTTTTAATCAAGTCGGGTCATTGGGGTCGAGCTAAGGTCATTCGGATTGCTAGTGGGACGGATTAAGGTCCAGCCATTTATTAAATGGTTCACATTCAAGTTAATCGGATTTTGGTCGGATCAAATCAGATCAGTTCCAAACCCGATTGTTAACTTATTTTAACACCCCTAATGAAAAGTGGAGCTCATTATCTCCTCTTTAGGCTTCATTTTGGAAGGCTTTTTAATTGCTTCTCAAAACAACTTTTTAGCCTAAAAATTAAATTTTTTATACTAAAAACTGTTCTAAAAAGTAATAAAAAAGCTGTCCCAAATTAAATCTTAGTTGTTTCTGGAGCACACTCATCAATTAAATTGAACATGAACATCTTAACATATGCAACACCTCAATCAATATGCCTTATCACAATCATCATAAATGCCATTGTTGATTTGAAAGTTCAATTAGGCTGTCGGGAAAATTACGCTGAACGAATCAAGAACACCAATTTAGGATAAAATCAGCCCAATGCTTAGCCAGAATGTACCACTAATAAGCAATAAGGTAATTGGAATGCACTATGGCATGATTGAAAATAAAAATCTTGACCCAATTAGAACTAATTGGAATGTAAACTAATATTGGGAATCAAGAGAAGACAAATTCTTTGATTCACTATGAATTCTCCTTGAGGTATATACTTATAATTCTTTGATATATAACTTTGTCAGTAAATCACCGCCGTTAGACCACCATCGTCAGAACTTTGACGCCGGACTATTATTGTCAGGCTGCAGTCACTTAGCAACAAACATCCAAAAAACTTTCAACTGTATATGCTTATTGCTCATGCTCCAAACTATTGTAATGTTGTAGTCTCCAAGTTAAATGACGAACAACTATTGTAACCGATACTCATATAGAGGAATTATTTTCAGCTGAATTAGGCCTCATTATTATTATTTTTACTTTTTCAGATTTTTTATGCTAAATTTTTGGTGAAACTTGCACTCTTTTCATTTATTTCTTTTGTATTTGATCTTCGTATAAAACTAAGAAGCAAAAATTCTTAAAAGGTGATTAGGATAAGGCACAAGTGTAGGACCCACAATTCTTTTCTCTCCACTTAAATAGTCGTGCCAAAGTTTATCCAAAGGCTTTAATGCTCAATCAGATTAGAATTATGGTTAGAATATTGTGATAGAATATTTAAATTATTATATATATATATATTAGATATATAAGTAGTATAATTTAATGTGCTATGGATGTAAATCTCGTATGTTTCATTAGAACTTTTGAATGTTGCAATATTTAAATGAACAAAAATTATATTAGGAAATTGTGATATAAATTATATTAGTAAAGACTAAAAAATTATTAAATAAATTTTAAATTAATATTATAGATAATATATATATATTTCATTCATTTTGAAATAACTTATTAAAAATTGAAAATTCATTCTGATATAATTTATTCAAGAATATCCTAACAACATTTTTACTCTAAATATTCAGCAAAACTAGGGGGCGAGTCTTCGCCGCCTCCACTTCGCAGCTATTCCGCGAAGAAAGCGTCCAATTTCCCAACGCTTAAATTCTCTCCTCCTTCCGGCACAAAACCATATCTTGCTTCCATAATCGCACAATCAGAAGCATATCAGCGACGAATGGACACTGCGGAGAAGAAGGAGATCGAGGCTAAGGCACCTTCAGTCCCATCGACGACGCCGCCGCCCCCACAACCTGCTGCTTCTCCGGCCCCTCCCGCGTCTGGCGGAGAAGTGGACGCCGACGGAGAGGCGGAAGAGCGTGAGCGGCAGGCTCGCGAACTCAAATCTGGTCTCCATCCCTTAAAGGTCCATCCCGCCCTTCTTATCCGTGGCTATTTATAATTTTATATCTTATTGTTTTTACCATTCGTTATTGGCATAAACTTTTCCACTTCTGTTCTTCATTTATGTTGCTTCCATTCTTAACCGAAAGGCGGTTAGGTTTAATTGGAATCGGTGAAACCTTGTGTGGCTGAAGACGATAGCTTTCGTTATTTTCTGATTTTCGGCTTGATGGGATCATTTGTTTGCTTAAAATTAGAAAAAAAAAGTTTTGAAAATTAATCTCTGCCAGAACATTTGAGATAGTAAAGAGATAGAGAGTTTAAAATCATAGTTTTGTTCGAAGATATAGTACATTAATAGATAAAAGATTAGTTAAAAAGGCATCAAAATTTTTATGATGAAAGCTTAGATAGGGGAAAACCATGAGGGTTGGCCCAGCTGAAATAATATCACTAGTGTTTGTCATTAGTCACAATAATATCCTTACCTATGATTGGAAAAAGGTTTTGATACAATATAACATATATAGGCTATACAATAATAAGAGTTAGTAATTTAGTATCAATAGCATGCAACAATCTTTTGAGGTAGGTGGTGGCATGCGTCGATGTTATTGGTGATAACAGACGACGAGTCAGCAGGCATTGAGGTACTCAAAGATTGTAGTTGGACGATGATAGTTGGAGGATCATAGGCCAGAGAATCATGATCGGGCGATGATGTTTAGTTGATCGTAGTCAGGTGACGGTGGTTTGATGAATGTGTAGTCGGGCGACAATGATAGTTAGAAGAATTGCTGTCCGATGAAGGTGGTTTGAAGGACCGTAATTAGACGAAAATGATCATAAGATAATTGTTGATCAACGGTGGTTGGAGGATTATAGTTGGACAACCGATGTCAGAGGACTATTGACAGGTGATGGTGTTCTTAGGACCATAGCCAGACAACGACGGTCAAAGAACCATAGTTTGGTGATTAGGGTGTGATGATGATAGTCAGGTGGTGCGATGACAATATTGATTGAGTGTTTTTTTTATGGTAGTGGGCGGGTGGTGTTTCGATAGCCACAGTCAGGGGGATGGCCCGAGAATGGTGAATGATGATGGTTAGATGGTATTTTAATGGCGATAGTTGACCATCGGTTTAATGACCATAGTCAGACGGTGGTCTGCTGATGACAGTTGGATGATGGTCTAATGTTGGTGGTTCGACGATGATGGTTAGATGGTGGCAGAACGGTGGAGCTCGAGTGGAGCTTCATGATTCGTAGAGCCTTTGAGCTCTCTTGAATCTTAAGCCTATGTCCAAGCTCCAAGAACCCTCGCCTCTTCATGTAGAAAGTGGAGGCTATTTATAGATTTTTGTGAGTGGGCATGCCCCGTAAATATTGCTAAAATTCGGAACATTTGATTGGATGTCTCATATTGATCCCTCGATCATAGGTCATTATTTCAACATTTTAGCATCTCAATGATGTCATAATTAAACGATATTGAGTTTGTTGTATTTATCTTGTTGAGATACTCAATTAAACTATAAGCATGTAAGATTTAGGGGTTGTTTGATCATCTAATTAATTTTATGAAGTTTTCAATTATGCTTCGAGTGCTCGATTTGAGCTCATTTGGACTTTGGATTGAACCACTTTTGATGTATTTGATTTTGTCTAATCGAGATGTTTAGTTCGATAAGAAGTGTGTTGATATTGGAGTTTGGATGGTTTTGAATTTAATCGCTAAAGTTTATGTTCTTCTTTGACGTTAGGTGGCCAATATTAAGTTTATTATTTGATGTGATGACAATTGTTTAATTTGAACTTATGTTCTTCTTTGACGACACTATTAGCTAAATGGTTTATTTTTTATTTAACATTTTCTTAGAAGATTTGGATTTTATTTTATTAGGGTTATTTTTTGCTTTGTTTTTTTTATTAGAACTTATTTTCTTCTAGCTGGATTGTTCCTTTATCTCCTTGTAAACCTAGTACTCTCTCACTATAAATAATGACCCATAGGTTATGCTAAATCATTGATTGGTTGTATAAAGCATTGGTTGCTATTATTTTTCGTATTGCTCTCTCACCTTCATGCCTATCTTTTTCATATCAAATTGTTCTGTACTAAAGAGTAACATTCATTGCATGATTCTCACTTAGAAAACCCAATAAAGGCTAACGTCCCCTTGTTATCCTATTTACTATTTAATTGTGATTGGGAGTGTTCCGTCAATTATTGAGTGTTTTTTGTGTTTAGAAGTAAGGGCCTCCTACATCTTTTGCTTACCACTATGAAACTAATACAAATCAATTTTGCACATATCCTGAAATATTTTATGAATAAATCATTGGTTTTATAATCATATATTAGCAAAATTGTTTGTTTAATTTGCATTTTCATTATGATTTTTTAGCTTCCTGATTAGTTGCATTGTTATCAATTTGTTTCAAAGATTTTTGTATAATATATACCTTTTGGTCACCATGACATTTACTTCACTTAGGGTCAATATACGAATTTAGTATTTTTGTATCGAGTAATGAGTCAAAACATTAACACAATGTATTAAATGATTCATGTAATGAGTGTTGGATTTGGTTTATGTTAAGAAAGGTAGAGGTAGACCTAAAGAGACTTTGTTAGAAATATTAGAAATGGCTTTTCTTATTAGATTTAAATGAGAATGTGACTCTTAACAGGACACAATGGAGAAAAAAGATTCATATTGTTGACCCACATAGTGGGATAAAGGCTTGATGTTATTTGTTTGTTGTTGTTGTTATAAGCCAAAGTGGTCGACAATCTTAAACATTATAGGTTAGCTTATGATATGCGCATAGAAACCCTTGGCAATAATTAGTCATATTATTGGTTTATTTGATTAGATATCTTGCCAAGTCTAATCATCATGAAACTCACTTGAAATTCAAATGGACTTGCGATATCCTTTCACATCTATTTTATAATTCTCATACTTTGGGTCAAGAACAAGTTGCTCAATAGACTCAATCTATTACTAGAGCAGGCCCCATAATACTTATGGAACCAACTATAGCTCCACATGTGATTGAGGTGCACTTCTTGGACAAAATAACATTATTAAGAATGACTAAGGACTTAGAGTTTACCAAGGATGTAATCTTGGCAAAATTCTATGAACACTTACAATCATCTCTATAATAGTAACAAGAATAAAGGCTACCCAAGGAACCCCAAACACATGTTGTTACTCTTGACGAAGAGAAATACCTAAAATAAGACATTCTTGAACACTACCTCTTAATTACAAACATAAAAATATGGTTGAGGTTAAAGCTCATAATTGGAATGTAAAGCGAAATCCAAATGCTTCTTTAGCTTGGTTCTCTGAGATGGAGTTTTTCACCTGGATCTCATGCATAATTGCTAATGTTTTTGATTCATGATAATTAAACTAGTAGAATCTGCCATAAGATTTGGTAAGTAGGAGTGTAAATTTGGGTTAATGAGTCGCTAGTTTTGAATATATACTCAAACTATATCAATTCAAACTTAACTCGCTGAACGAAGATGATGTTATAAATCGTGTCAGGTTAGTTTCAAACATAGTCAAAATGAATAAGATTACTTATCTTTGACACGGACGCTCCAAAAAAATAGAGATATTTTTAATAAAAAATAAAAAAAGACAAATCAAAATAGGTTGTCATTATTTGGGATTGACCCGAATCCCCTACACAACCCCAACCTAACCTAATTTTCTGGTTTATTTAAGCAAACCCAAACTCTTCTAGAATCTTATTCTGGTTGACTCAAATTTGAAATTTTCTTATTGGGTTTGAGTTGTTTTTTTTTGTTTCATGTCCAGATTGATAATCCTATTAGTGAGGAACTGAAATTAAACTAGATTGCTAAGTTGAACCCCCTAATTCCAACTAAGGTGAAATGAAGCATCGACTTCAACAAAAAATATATTCTTATATATTATAGGAGGAAGCTGGTTGAGCAATTTATGAATCTTAAATAGGGTGCTTAGACCATCACTAAATACTTGAAGTTTAAGGTGCTCGTTGTTCATTGTCTCCCTAAAGAACCTTTGATAGTTATATCTAAATTTATTAGTGGATTGAAACTTGAGTTACTTAGAAAAGTCAATTTGTATGCTTTAGAACCCTTTAATGATGCACATTGGTAGGCAATATGAATTTAGGGACATCAATGTTATCCCATTACTAAGATTGCTGGCAATCTCATCAACACAATGAAAGTTAATTTCTCAAAACCTAATAACAATCGTACTCCTCATTTCTAATCTTACACTTCTCATGCCTACAAACTTAGGCATGGACAAAGCTATTACAAGTTATGAGATAGGGAATCCTTCAACTTACAACACAATAATGAAATTGCTTCAAATGTTTCCAAAAGGGGTCATATGCCATATCAATGCAATCATAAGGTGTTCTTGATGTATTAAGATCATGGTATGCCCTCTTTAGATGATGAATACATTAAGCATAGAAGTTGATACCAATAATCAGAATTCATCTTGGAGATAAGTTAAAAATGACTTTCAAGCCACTGATGATCTATATATATGATGGTTAGTGATGCCTTAACCAACATGTGTAGTTCATTATGAGGACTATGAATTAAGTTCTATGAACATTAACTGATAAGTTTTTTATTATATCCTCATTAAAATAGTACATCATAACTTTCTACATCTTATTTAGATGCACTTTGATAAGCAATATTATTTATTAACTTAAACTAATATGCTTTTCTCCAATCATAAGCTATATTTCTTATATGTGGTTTCCTCTAAAGGATCGGAGGTTGATCCACAACATTTATGGTATTTAATGAGTGGCACTAGCTTCAATTCATTTATGATGTCTGAAGTTTTTTTTTGGTTTGATCACTTTCTAGCATTGTTTTATCGAAGGTGTCAGCTCCATTATTATCACTTTGATAAGCATCCTAAAACATGAGAAATTCAATTGTGGTGTTATCACACCTAAAGCTGTTGACTTTATCAAAATTATAATGGGGACTCCCTCGTGTTTAAGCTTCCTGATTTTATAAAATATGTTTGAAATATTATATGATACTTCAGAAATAGGAATTGGTGATTTTTTAGGTTAGGAAAATGATCTCGTTGCATCATTCAATGAGTGGTCAATTATGCTAAGCAAAAGTATACTTATGGCAAGGAATTTTATGTTGTTGCCATGCTCGACGGCATTGACATCATTATCTTCTTCACTAAAAGTTTGTCTTGTATTCTTACCACCAAACTTTTTGATAGGGTAATCCTAGAAAAAGTTGAGTGCCTGTCATGCAAAATGGGTTGCATATGTATAGAAATGTTTTTTTTCATATTGTGGAAGCTGTTAAGCAAACTCCGGGCTTATATATTTCTCCACCTATTCCTAATGTGCCATGTCACAACAACGTATATTTTATTTTAGGATTACCTTGCATGTCAATGTTGTCACTGAAAGATCATCCTTTTAAAATGGCGCATAAGTGACAAACTAGAAAGTCTATAACTCTCATATCGTTATCCGTGCATGCATATTTTGATTATGCTGTGTCATTTGCTAAGCACTTGCATAATTTGCATTTTGATATTAAAGCACAAATTAGTTTGTAAAAAAGTATAAATATATTGAGAATGCTCATTGAATATCATAAGAATATATTGAATGTGATTGTGTTAGCTTATAATTGATCTGAATATTTCCTGCATAATTATTTAAGAAACTCTAACTCGACTCTCACACCGCTACAAAATATTTAGAAAATTTGGACCAAATGCATATTTTTTTTATTTGCTAGCCAACATGAATATTAGGTTGACTTTCTATATCGATGATCTAATAACATAAGGAGGTACTTTTGAACCTTCAAGATCTCCTGCATCATCTCTTTATCCTGCCAGCACTACTGCTTCTAGTTTTGCCTTTAGGTCACTAGCCAGCCCAAATTGTTGAGCATGTTATGTGATATGAGGTTATACTGGATTCTTTAGGTGGACAACATTATTTTATCTAATGGAGAGAGTATCCACCATTAGATGACTAGTGGGTTACTTGTGATGTGCTTCAATGCATCTCCCTCGACCTTCTAGATGAATACCTTTAGCTTAACTTTCCAATGGAGAATTCTTCACACCCTAAGGGAGTTGATGGTGATTGCTCGATCCACTTTTGTTCAATGTTAACAACATGATTAGTACAATAGTTCTTATTTAGCACATTTGAATTTTGGGAAAATTTGGATTATGTTTTATTAAGGTTATTTCTTGCTTTGTTATTTTTTATTAGGACTTATTTTCTTGCAATTGAGTGGTTGTTTTATTTGCTTGTCCTCCCTTCATAAATTGCGACATATACGGTTAGGTTAAATAATTAATTGGCCTGTTGAAGTTATTGACTGCTATTGTTTCTTGTATCTCTCTCTCCCCATATGTTTTCTTGTATCTATTTGTTCTTTGTTAGTATGGTTCCTTTTTGGTTTATATAACTTCAATTGATTTTTTTCTCCTTTTGGAATACTATTGTTTCCTTGAGGTATTAAAACCATTTTGAATTTCATGAAAATATTCCATATTTTATGTCATAAACCTTATTCCTTCTTCTTAAAGTTTTTAATTTATCTAAATCTCTTATGCCTAACACATCTTATATATTTCCTTCTCTTTTTTTTTTAGCATAAATTTGTGTTTTGGTATACTCGTCGAACACCGGGGGTACGATCTCAGACTTCATATGAGGAAAATATAAAGAAGATTATTGAATTCAGCACGGTATGCTTGTACGAGAGCACTGTTGACAGTGCCATTAGTTAATCATCATTCTGTTATTACAAGGACATAAGTGACTAATAGAAGTTTATGGGGACATGCCTTGGGTCATTTCTTGATGTAGGTTGAAGGCTTCTGGGTCTGTTATTGCCATTTGGCTCGCCCTTCAACTCTACCTAGTCCAACAGATCTGCACCTGTTCAAAGAGGGAATTAGACCCCTATGGGAGGTATGTGGAAGACGGTGCTACAAATGTGCTTTTAGTGGTAGCAATGTATCCACTGCTTGCCTTAATTCTCTTTTCCTGTCAGGATTCTGCAAACTGCAATGGTGGAAAGTGGATAATACGTTTCAAAAAGGTTGTTTCAGGACGATTTTGGGAAGACTTGGTAAGTAAAATGCAATTTTTGTGGTATATTACTTTGTTTCGAGTTCTGTGGCACTTCTAGCTGATTTTGTTGCCATAGTTACTGAGTATTTTGCATTTAATTCCACTAAGAATTGAAGATAATTTCATAGATAATGCAAAATGATGTTTAATATGCAATTCATTTTTATTTGATCAATCAATATTGCTTGACATTTAGTGGCTTCTCAGATGATGATAATATCGAATTTAATCATTGAATGCTCGTGATCAAGTTCTCTAAAAAAACCCTTTAAGTTTCATGAATTGAGGATAAAAAAAAAGTTGCAAATTTTTTTTTATAAATTTTGCATGGGACAGAAGCTATGACATTTAATTTCGTCTTTCGAGGCTCCGGAAAAATCTATATAGCTGGCATCATCACAAATTTATGGTGCTGCTCACGAGCTACGGTCCGGGAATTAAGAGCAACGGAAGGATAGCTATTGATTGCTTTAGGGAATCAGAAGGCCCTGAAGTAGGGGTGTGCTAGGCAAATCAACGAGTAATAGGAAGAATAGAATTGGAAGCGGGAGACACACTTAACAATGGAGTAGCGTGAATAGAGGCCGTAGCAGTGAACAAGTGAAGCCAACAATTGGAGCAGCGAAAAATAGAAGTTGTCAACACAGAAATCGATAGCGAGAGGCAGCATGTAGCAGGATAAGGAATTATCAAAATTGAACAAACTATTGTAAAAATAGAGATACTGGTCAGAAACATAATTTTTTTTTTTGCTTATAAGGCTTATTAAACTTAACAATTGTTGAATTGAATATGATATCTAAACTTGTTGAATTTGAAATTCCATTAGCTGACTTAAAACCTTACAAATAATAAAATCAATACCTATCAAATAATAATAGGTCTATCAATTGATATGCCTTGTCAATATGTTGTGTTCGTGCATTGCTTAAATATGCCTATCAATGTCCATCAATATATGCTATGCCATGTTGTATCAGTATCGGTGATGTTCTATCAATTTTCCTTCAATTCTAACTATCAATCTATTTATGTGCTATCATGTAAATGAAATCATAAATTCGATTGTGAATAACATGTCAAGACATCCAGCTAGTTACATGATGTTTTCTTGTGTGTTATCTTGGGTTAATGTCAGGTGTCAAGTGTTGATGTCAGGTGATTATCTTGTATATGTGTTGTCACTCCTGCTTGTTTTCATATCTTGCCCCCTTATAACTCCTTATCTTGTATCTTGAATATTTAATTTTGCATTGGGATTACACCATAATTCATAATTTAAAGAAAAGTTCGTCAGCCCACCCTTCTATACATGATATCTTGCTTTAGCCAACTTGAATTATTTTACAATTAACCAGCCTTTCTTGCTTGTATATGAATGTCGCATGCATCATGTATCAATAATATCTTTTTCACCTATGAATATAATGATATATGAAAATACAGAAAAATATACAAAATATATAATATCTTCATAAATTCATAATTATCATTTTACATTGTGAAATTCGGAAATATATCAGTCAAAACACTCATATTAACGATATTTATCACATAACAAAAGCTATGTGGTAAAAGTTTGCTAACAAAAAAGATATTGCAACTTTCGTAAGTTTTGACCAAATTAAAATGCATAAAACCCAAAATACACAAAATCATTGAAATTAGATGTAAAATAATGATAGCTTACAATGATACAAGTAAATTTCACAACTGGACAGACCAACAAAATCGGGTCTACAACCCCAAACTTAGAATTTCTTTTCTTCTCCCTCTCTTTTCTTCTCATATTTTTTCTAGCTTTCTATTAAATGAAATGAATTGGAAAAAGGCTTTAATGGATTTGTGAGTGGATTAGGATATTTTGAAATAAAATAATATAAATGTTACAAAGATCATTATGCAATTTGTTTAAATTTTAATGTAAAATTCATATAAATCATTTTATATCTTCAAATCTGGGGCTCAAAACATTATAGAAAAAATATTCATAAAATAACATGTTTAAAAAATTCTTGTGAAATCAATTTGCAAAATGGACAACTAACGGTCCAAAAAATCTCACTTGTATTGACATGTATTAATTTTCCTCAGTATCCCTAAAATTAGGAAAAAATTAATCTAAATAAAACACAATAATATCATAACTAAGACGATTTTTAAATTGAACTTGTAATTATTCATAAAATATTATTTGATTGAGCCAAAATATGGGATGTTACACTTTTGCTCTTCCTTCTTTTAATTTACTTGCTTCCTTGATGGTTGTTAGGCTTATCTTCTAGGTTTGGGTGGAGAGAGAGTTGTAGGGTTTGAAATTAGCTAGGGTAGGAGAAGGCATTGTGGCGTACTAGTAGAGAGGGGGAGTAAAGCTCTTGAGGGAAACTTGAATTTAATTTTTTGTTGATTGAAAAAGACTTAATACATGGGGCTATTTATAGCCATCTAATGATAACCTAAGGGATCAAGCTAAAAAGCTAAATTATAAGATATATAATATGAACTAATCATTTAGAATCATTGATAAAAGCTGAATGAAACTTGAATTGAATTTCTTGAAGATCGATAAAGACTTAATACGGGTGTATTTGTAGCTATCTAATGATAACCTAAGAGGTCAACATAAAAGCTAAATGATGAGCTAATAGTATATGGTATGGACTAATAATCTATATTAATACTAGATAAGTTTGTAGATAACACATTCCCTTAGCTTGATAACTTATACAATTTACTTGTGCTCTCTCCTCTTGATTGATTTTTCACTCGTGCTCTGTCCTCTTGATGTTGTCAACCCCATTTTCTCTCGGCCTTACGAATTCTTATCTATTTATCTTTAATTTTTGATTGACCCCTTTCTTCTAGGCGAGAAAGTTTTGACTTTGTAATCATCCTCATATCTATTGAAGATTCCCCAAGCCTTCCGGAAGGATTTTTGGACCTTAGTAAACGTTCTTATAATGTTTTGACAGTTCTTTTGCAAGGTTCCTTTGGTTTTTTGGAAAGTTTCATAAACTTGTTTAGGAGTGTTCTAGTAGCTTGCCCAAGACTTTTCGATTGCATTTTGAATGACTTAATTTTATTCATGAATCTCTTGGATCATAGATGTCAAAATCAATGTTTGAAATCCCATACCCTCCTACCTAAGCGTGAAAAAAAAAGCTCATTTGTTTGAAGATTGCAACCAATTGGAAAAGATGTAGGAATCAAAATCTTCCTTTTGTTCACCAATAAAAGACATACTTCTTGCATCAATCATGCAATCAAATGAGTAGTAGTGCAAATATGAAGCTGTGCAGGTTTCTTGAGGAAAGCAATATGAACGTAGGAAGCGAAAGAGAGCAAAGGCAAAGGTAAAAAGATAGAGGCTTTTCCATTTTTTTCTTCTTTCCAAGAGCAGTAGTCGCACCTCTTACACACATCGTCATTGAAAGTTTGCAATCAGATATATCAAAGCCATTTTTCACGTTTCCGCACAATGGAAAAAAAAAAAAAAACCCCATGCCTGAGATCCCCCTTCTCAAATTCTTTCATCTCTTGCTTGCATCTGATTGAAACAGAATCATATATCAAAAATATTCCTTTAGCCACTAAGTGACTAAATGAAGAGATAGACAATCAAAACAAAAGGAAGATTAAAAAGATTCAGTTGTGCATTTGTAGAGGAAAATGAATATGGTTTTAGGAAGTAATGGAGAAAGAGCAAGGTGGAGAAAAAATAAAGAGGCCATTTGGGACCACTTTTATTTTTTGTTTCTTTTTATTTTTTATTTTCTTTTTATTTTTATTATATTTTGACATGAAAAAAATATGTTTGATATATAAAAAAACACATTAATTTTGTTTATTTGTGTGGTGGAGGTGATGAACAGCAGTACTCAGTGGTGGTTGCTGGTGGTGACATGCTATATAGTGTTGGTTGTGACAACCACCAGTGTTGATTATTTTTAAAAATATTTAAAACACTTAAAATTTATTTTGAGTATTTTTAAAAACAACTTGATTTGTTTTTAAAGATAAAAAATAAAATAATTAAAAGCACACGAAAAAACATGTTTTTTATAAACAAAAATAAAAATAGAAGAGAAAATTGATCCTAAAAAGGCTGGATGACTTTCCCAAAAAAACCCCATATTAACCTGGAAGTGACTTGTCCGTCCCACTTCCTTATGGTCGCAGTCTGTGCGATTCAGATTCCGCTCGTCAGTCGTCCCATCTGTCATCTGCTGATCAGTCCGTCATAGTTCGCAGACCATTCCTTTGTACTCGCTCCGCGCCCGTAAGGCCGCAAGCAAACCAAGGTTGCTCACTCCGTAGTCTGTACTCTGGTACAGAGCCATGGAGCACCAACATGACGCACCTCCCCCCTCCCCTCGCATGCTCACAACTCGCCTACTTGCGCGTTCGCTAGGCTCGTCCACACTAGCCCGTGCAGTAGCCCACTTGCCTTCATGTGTGCGCTCGCCAATCTCACTCGTGTAGTTGCCTGGGTTAACGGTTTGGGTCGGGTCAACCCGAGTTAGGGTCGGGTCCAAGTCTAGATTTTCTATCCGTTTGCCTAATCCGGTCGGATTCGGGTTCGGGTTCAATCAGTTGAAGGCGGGTCAATTTCACTTGAACCTGACCAAAAAACTCATTTTGAAAACCCTATATGACTAGATTGTTTTTTCTCTCGTGCTATATTTTCACTCTATTTTGTTGTTATGTACTCATCCATGGGGAACCTTTTAACAGCTCAAACTTTTAATTATCAAGATATTGTCCGTTTTAGTCTAAAGGTCTCAAGGTTTTGTCCTGTAAGTGTAACTTCCCAAGAGGCTACCTATCCCAGGATTTCTCCGGGATAAGCATGCTTAACTGCAGAGTTTCTTAAATGAAATTTCAACCATTACGTCAAAATGCGCATCGATTGTTTAAGAGTTTAGCTTTTTTTACTTAACGGATTTTATAATCTCCCCCACTTAAGTAACCGACGTCCTTGTTAGTATCCTTATCCCAGAATCATCCACTGGATAGATATGATTCTAGAGGTGACCCTTACATGTTCAAGTGGTGACTCCCGCTACATAGTACTTTATACCATATAGAATTTAAGAAGTGGCTCCCATGGTGTAGCATTTTTTCTTGAATGACTCTTAGTTCCTATCTTCCGGCTGATATATTGCTCTTATACCATTTTTAACAGCCCAAACTCTTAATTATCGAGATATTATTTGCTTTGACGTAAAGGCCTTACAATTTTTTCTTATTGGTGTAACTTCTTAGGAGGTTACCCATCTCAGGATTTTCGGATCAGCGCACTTAATTGCAAAAAAATTTAGTGAAATACTAACCATTACACAAAAGGTGCCTCGATTGTTTAAGAATTCAACTTCTTTTACTTAAGAAATTTTACAAACCTTGAATCTTAAAATAAATGAAGGAATTTATTGAATAGGAAAAAAAAAACCATTTACATTAGGTAATTATGAAGTATGTTAGGGGCCAGGAAAAAGTTTTACCCTTTTAACGCTTTTGATTAGGGGTGTAAAAAATTGACCCAACCCGCTAACTTGACCCGATCGGGTTGGGTTTTCCGACCCGTTGTTAAATGGGTCGGGTTGGGTTCAAATTGACCCGCGAACCCTTTATTTACTCGAAAATAAGTCTTTTAACATATTTTTTTTCACGTGTGGATTTAATCTTATTATTTTTATCAAATATTATAAATTTAATAGTTACTAAGTTATAATTTTTTTGAAACCAAAAAGGGTTAATGGGTCGGGTTCGAGTCATACAGGTTGCTAGCGTGTTGGGTTTGTGTTGGTATTTTTTACCCGTTTATTAAGTGAGTCGGGTTGGAGTTGACTAGATTCGCATTAGGTTACTTTCGGGTCAAACCTGAACCCATCCCATCGATCCATTTTGACACCCTACTTTTGATGTAGTAATGTAAGATTACAGTTAAATTAAAATTTGTTGTGTATTGATATTGACCATGACCATCTTTTCTAGCTAATACTATTCAAGAATGAAGAGAGTTTGTATGCTTGGATTAATAGGAGTGGAAACTTTTCCTGGTTCTATGATGTTTTCATTCTCTTGAAATATATAATTATCATATAATTTTTGTATCCTTGTTGCATCTCCTGGTAGGTTCTTGCATTGATTGGCGATCAGCTAGATTATGGCGAGAACATATGTGGTGCTGTTCTCAGCATTAGATTCAATGAGGATATCCTAAGTGTTTGGAATCGCAATGCATCAGATCACCAGGTCAAGAATCCTTCATACTTCATATTTTTAATAAATATAGAAGTTTTCTTTTACTGCTAACAACTTTCTTTTTAATACTCCAGGCTGTGATGGCCTTAAGGGACTCAATCAAGCGGCACCTAAAGCTTCCGCCAAGCTATGTTATGGAGTACAAACCTCATGACGCATCTCTGCGCGACAACTCCTCTTACAGGAACACTTGGTTGAGAGGCTAGGCAAGTCTGTTTCTAGTTTAATGTTCAACAATGTGGATTTCTGGTTTATTAACTTTAGCATCTGGACTGGTTCGTTAGTTTTTTCCGTGAAAACTTTAGTTAGAATTTGGGAGAGAGAGAGAGAGAGAGAGAGGAACATGCACACAAGTTATTTGCATTTATATTTCTGATCTTTGACCAAGAATCTGGAGTGTTATTTGTGTTTAATTTTTCAGAAAGGTTTGTTCTATCATGTTCCATTGAAAGAGAAGCATAATATTAAGTTAAGTGTTGCAGAGATGAGGATGCTCATGTGAATGAGTGTCTTTACTTTTAAAGATAGGATACAAAATGAGTATATACGTGAAAAGGTTGGAGTAGCTCCAGTGGAAGATAAGATTAGAGAGAGTCGACTTAGATGGTTTGGTCACATAAAACGGCGGCCTTCCGATGACCTGGTTAGAAAAGTATATATATTAGATTTGACTTATACTAAGAAAGGTAGAGATAGACCTAAAAAGACTTGGTTAGAAAATATTAGAAATGATATTTCTTTGTTAGATTTAGATGACAATTTGATTCTTAACAGTACAAAATGGAGAAAAAAAGGTTAATGTAGTCGACCCGTCATAGTAGGATAAATGCTTGTTATTGTTGTTGTTGTTGTTTGTTCTATCATGTTAAAGCCTTGATTGATTCAACTATTATGTATAAAGTTATATAAATTTTATTTATGTATGATTAAGTAGAATATTTTTTATTCAAAATCATACAAAAAATATAAGGGAATATATGATTGTATACAAAACTTTTTATGAATTTAATACATTTAATAATCTCTATAGAAACTGATGGACTTAGCAGTTGCTGACAGTCACTTAGAACAATGAATATTGATGTCCTGAAAGTTTACTACGTCTATCATTTTGACTATAAAACAAATATTTTCTGATGTTAATTATTCTCAAATGATATTGTATAACAAATGCCTTTCTTTGGCAATCAATTACTTATGGGTCCATCTTTGGAGAAATTATTCTGTACGGATGCCGAACGCAGCTCTACATTCAGAGATAAATCAGAATGAGTCACGTCAGCAATACTGAGCACGGTATCGAGCCGCAGTACCGAGCGATATCGAGCAGTACCGAGCCACGGTACAGACGTGCCTCATTCTGATTGGTCTTTGGACGACGTTCGGCGTCTGCACATAATAATTTCACCCATCTTAGACCCACCTTTTGCAGTATGTGGTTGAGAATATGAAAGTTTGTATCACTCAAAATCCAAACAAAGAGAACTTGGCGTCTTGGCCTGTGCATAGTAATAAGATTTATAGTAGCTCCACTATCATGAATATAAATGTAAACTTAGACTTTGTTTGGAATTTTTTTTTTAATATTTTATAAAGTAAATTTTTAATACAAATTGAACTAATTTTATGTTAGAAAGTTACTTTAGAAAAGCAAAAAAAATTAACTCAAACAAAACTTAATCATAAAAAATGGCCTAATATTTTTCCTATTCATCCCTGAACATAAATTATGGAATCTAGATTTTTCTTCCGTAGCTTTTTGGAGTCTCAAGCTAGCAATTTTCTTATGTCCTTCCTCTAGTTATAAAATTTTGGAAATTTTTATTGGTAGTTTTGTTCTATATAGGACAATGATGAGATCTAGATTGGCTTTGTCTGTTCCTGAATGTTTCATGGACCTTTTTGACTTTTTTTGTTTATTTTGGGTTGCTTGGCTATCACTTTTTTTATCTTACAATTGTGGCTTAGATATTTATCCTTAGGAAGGAGAAATTTGATGTCCATGGATCAAAAATGTCTTTTATTTGTAACTTGCTTTTAAGTTTAATATATTGCACTTCAACTCTGATTTTTTTTTAAAAAATCATTATAAAATAACTAAAAAAAAAAAGGAACGGGGTATCTACCCTTTATCATCCTCCTTAGGAGGCGCTTGACAGCGTAATTAATCCCTCGGCGAGCTTACCAGCAACCAGCCCCACAAGTATATGACCGCAGTTATTTTCTCCCCACTTAAGAGTCCCGCCGTGTGAGTGGAGATTTGAAAATGAGTTGGGACGTTTCCAATCATACTCGCCCACCAACCCAATTAAACCCGGCGGGATTACCACTAATGATAACTCCCAATAACAGTTCATTTCTTATCCAACATTCAAATTGACATCACCAGCGCTATACTCATCGACCGGCGCTGGGTCTCGATCTGAATTGATTGCTCATTGAAGTGAATGTCCCATATTTTTCATAGCCAGCTGACATCCTATCATAAGACTTTGAGTACTTATGGAGGTCTGAGAAGAAATTATTAGCAAACATATTATATAGCAGTGGTTAAGGGCCCAACGAACAGCCTTACACTGTCATCTTTTATTTGGTTCAGCAACAATTTCTTTTTCCCATTGGGATCAAATTGATTAGGGCTCTCTACTATACTTCTTATTACTTTTTGTATCACAATTATAATTTTATTTTGCTATTACTTTCTTATTATTTTCTCACTTCTTTTATGAATTTTTTTTTGTGGTAGGAGGCTATTTTTATCAGCTATATTTTTTTTTTAGTATGAGATAGTTGTAAGAAAGCAATTATTTGATTTTTTTTAAAGAATATATTTATAGTATGTACATCAATTTTTATAAAAATTATTTTCTCCACAACAATTTTACAACCAACTGGACAAAGCATTGCAGCTAGGGCTGTAAAAATTGGGACACTGGTCGGGTTCGAATCGAATCTGGAACCGACCCAACACTAGTTGACCTGACCTGAACCCAATTTTTTGCAAACAAGTTAGATATTTCAACTCGAATCCAACCTGCGTGGTTTACCGGGTTGACCAGACTCAACCCGACCCACGACACGACATGGCAGTGGCGGCAGATGCGACGCGAGAGGCTTTACCCGACAAACCGACGGGACGCGGCTCAGGTGATGGTGATGTTGTCAGTGACTCACGCGAAGAGACATGACTCGACGCAACAGACACTCGATGAGGGCAGAGGACGGGCAGCGCAGGCACTCGATGAGGGCATCACGGGTAGAAGATGCGGGCATCTGGTTTAGCTGTGTCATTCTAGGTAAGCCCGAACCCGACCCGATTTTTGAAACGGGTTGGTTTGTTGAGCCCGAACCTGACCCATTTCACAAATAAGTTGATCCTAACATAAAATTTTTTTATCGGGTTCGAGTCGTGTCAAATATTGACACCCTAATTGCAGCCATTCTAAACTAACTTTTAGAATGCAATGAATACCAATGTTGATTTACAATCTAAGAATTGAAGCTCCATTTTTTTCGTAGACTATTATCTCTCTCTCAATATATATATTAAACAACTCTTATTTTCTTGCATAATTTATTAAGTAAGCTTTGCTTTTTAATTTATGAGACAAAAAAAAAAACTAAAAATAGAACAATATTGTACACAATTCACTCATTACTTCACTATCTTAAGCAACACTCAAAGAAAGTTGCTCACCTCTAATAGTGATGTTTAATAACATCAAATGATGAGATAAAATAATTAAACAACACAAATAACAAAAAGCCCTATTCCAACTACATTTATTACATCCATACCCTTGCATTCAAATACAAAACGACAAGAAAATGATATGAAATACAAAGTAAGAGGGCTCAGTTAAAGGCCGAGACTTCCAACATCCCTTCAACAGCTTTGGGCCATCCAATTTGATGAAGAATCACGCGAAGCAACAAATCCAAGCCATCATCAAAGGTTGCCAAGAGCCAGCCCAAAGAGAGGCGAGCCCCAGCCACATCATAGCCCGGCCAAACGAGAATCAAACGGAGAGCTTCAAAAATATACAACAACCTCGGGCAACACAAATATAGGCACCACCTGCAACAAATAAACATCCAGTCCTGCCACAACACAAGCTCAAAGGAAAGGCAACCAGAAGGCAACCAGCACGAAAACCATAGCCATTAATGACCAAGTCTGCCCTTACCACGAGCCTTACAACAAGAAGCAACAGACACAACCGATGAATCACGTAACAAAGAGAAAGAATTTTCAGGATCATCAACCCCACTTGACTCAGAAGATGAATCATACTCAGAATCAGACGAAACATGAAGCCAATCGAGCTGCTTTATGACATCCCTACTCCAATTTCCCCCCACATGATAAACCATTAACTCATTAAGAATATTTTATTTTATAGGGACATTATATACATACCACTATATATATATATAGTTGATAGTCAATTAAATATTTTAAAAAATCCTTTTTAATTTATTTTATAACCAATCAAATAACTTGAAATATTTCAATATATTAGATTTAATTTATGCCGCAATTAAAAAAATATATATTTAAAATTCTTGCAACTAAACAAGCCTTAAAAAATCACATTACACCAAAATTTATTTTTTATTAATACAAAATAGTAAAACTAATTAATATGACGATTTCCTGAGGGTAGTTTTGTCATTTGAAAGAGAATAGTAAGGCCGGCTTTGGTGGGTCCCATTGTCGGATTATACAAAGTAATTAAGACTATTTTAATTATTTCATTAACGATAATTTACTAATTTTATTTTAATATGCTAAATTTTCCTCCCCCGACCTTTAAAATGGCGCCTAATTATAGTTTCATTCTCTGTCGGATTTTTGCTTTCTCTCTCCTCATCGCAGCGATCGATTTCCTCGGCCTCTACTTCTCCTCGCGAAGGACAAGGCTCTAGGGTTTCGGTTCTGGGATCGAGAAGGGAGAGGAAAGATGAGGGAAATCATCAGCATTCATATTGGGCAGGCGGGGATTCAAGTGGGCAACTCCTGCTGGGAGCTGTACTGCCTCGAGCACGGGATCCAGCCGGATGGCATGATGCCAAGGTAAAGCTTGCTTTTTTGGTTCTCTTTTTGTTTAATTTTTGGATTGTAGGGCTTTAGGATTTGGTGAGTTGGTTTTTTTTTTTGTTTTGTTTTTGAGCGGGGATCACGTGTTTTTGACCATGCTCGTGGTGTGGATTTTATCTGATCTGTTTTGCATTAGATTGCCGCGGGTAGAATTATTCTTTATTGTTTTGGTGGGACTGGTAATCGAGCTTTTGAGTTGATGAATTAGCAGTTTTGCTTCTTTTATAGTAATTTGCTGATTTTTTTTTATTTGTTCATTAGCAAGTATGTGCGGAAGATGTTCCTAGGTTATAAAATTTTGGTTTTTTCTCATCCTTTGGGTGAATTGGCGAGATTTAACGATAAAAGTATATGGATTTGGGTTTTCAGCATTGCATGTGCAGGAGTCTGCTGCAGTTGATTTGGTGTATCAATTTGTTTTAATCTTACTGAAGTTTGGTTGTTGTTTACCATGGTAAACCCTTATATTCTACCCTTTCAATTCAATTTTTGGTGGATGAAGACTTTAGCATTTGGGAAGGCAAAATTTTTTTTGTGGAGTCTTTGGCCTTTTGACCTTTTTCACCGCGTGGATTTTGCTTTCTGATATTTTTTGAATTAATTAGGTTGCTGCGGGCCATTTTTTTAATAGCTTGATTGGGAGTTAGAATCAAGAGAAAATAATGAAATTAAAAAGGATAATAAATGCTTTTGTATTAGCAAATGAGAAGAAAACTATGATGCTTGATACAGATAGGGGACATCAGTGAAAGCAAAACTACTAGCGATCAAGGGAGGGCACTGTCCTCACCTTTTTTAGATTCGGATCCTTACTCTTAGAGCCCTAAATTCTAACAAGTAAAATTTTACTATTAACGGAACTACTCTTGTTTGAATAAAATATAGATGTTAATTCTCTCTTGATCCTAACTAAATTTTTTGTTAGGAATGTTCAGCATTCATTGATTACAATTATTTCTGTTTCTCTAGTTCCCTTTGATTGATTAAGGCGACTTGGCACATATTTGTCCCTGTATTCTTGGATCCATCTTTTCACCTTTCTTGCAGAAAGGATTCAGTCCTTTGGCTGTTGTATGCCAAGGTAAAACTCACAAATTACTACTCTTTTAGATTTTTTTTAATCTGGTGTAGGCTTTGGGGTTAGGTGAGGAAGAGTTTTTTTTTTAATCTAAGGATCAAGGATTTTTGACCTTGTTAGCGTCATGGATTTGTCTGATCTGCTTCAAATTAGGTTGTTGCTTTCGAATTTTTTTTTTTAACTGTTTTCTTTAATTTAAGTGAGCTGGTGATCAAGCTTTTGTGTTTAGGAACATTATTTTGGTGTTTTTTATGTAGATTATATCCCTTGTACGGTTTGTTTGTTGCTTTTGGATATAATTATTTGGTATTTTTTTCCTTGGCGCTCTTTGTTGTTTTTTATGTAGTTTTAAACTTTGCAAACACCTTCAATTTCCCTTGAACATAATGATTTTATTTTCACATGTTTTGTATTTATATGAAACCAAAATAGCCCTCAGAATTTAGACTGGATTTTTGTAGATTGGTTGTTTAAGTCTTTTGCATTTGATTTGATGCATCAATCTCTAATTCTGATTACTACTAGTTCATCTCATTGTCATCATAATCATCATCATCATCATATTTAGCCTTATCTCAACTATTTGGAAACTAAAACTGTTGTATATGAACTAATTTTTTAAAAATTTGTTCTGGCAGTGATACGACAGTGGGTGTTGGCCATGATGCCTTCAATACCTTTTTCAGCGAAACCGGTGCTGGTAAGCATGTCCCAAGAGCATTATTCGTAGATCTCGAGCCAACTGTAATCGACGAGGTGAGGACTGGTGCTTACAGGCAACTCTTCCATCCGGAGCAGCTCATCTCCGGGAAGGAAGATGCCGCGAACAACTTCGCCCGAGGACATTACACAGGTATCAAACATTTATCTTATTTCTTGTAGAAAGTGAGATTATTTGTGTTTGATGGTTTTTTTTAATGGAAAATGCAGTTGGAAAGGAGATTGTCGATTTGTGCCTTGATAGGGTGAGAAAATTAGCAGACAATTGCACTGGATTGCAGGGGTTTCTAGTTTTCAATGCTGTTGGTGGTGGAACCGGATCTGGATTGGGTTCTTTGTTGTTGGAGAGGTTGTCTGTGGATTATGGAAAGAAGTCAAAACTTGGCTTTACCATCTATCCTTCCCCACAGGTACCATAAACCAGAACATTCTCCTCTGTTGTCCTCAACCATGTTTGGGCATTAGAAGTGTAAACAAAGTGAGCTTGATTTATCTCTGGTTTGAGCTTGCGCTTCAGCTTAATCTTGTTTAATTAATCGAGTTCAAGTTCGAGCTCAAATTCTACGAGTTTTGCTCATGAGCCTGCTCATTTATTATGAATAAGAGAAGATGATAATGTTTGATAAATAAATGAAAAATTAGAGGATAAATAATTAGAAATCACTTGAGATAAAAAAAGAGATAAAATTTTTTTAAATATTTTTAAAAATTTTTTATTAAAATTCTTGAAATTTAATATATTCTTAAGTGTGTTTTATACTAACATATCAATCATAAGTTTTTTTAAATTTCTTATTGATAGGGCAATTATCCTTTTTTACTTTGCAGGTTTCTACAGCAGTTGTAGAGCCATATAATAGTGTCCTATCCACACACTCCTTACTGGAGCACACCGATGTTGCTGTCCTTCTTGACAATGAAGCCATCTATGACATCTGCAGGCGATCTCTGGATATTGAGAGGCCAACTTATACCAACCTAAACCGTTTGATTTCTCAAATCATATCATCCTTGACAACATCTCTTAGGTTTGATGGAGCTATCAATGTGGATATCACCGAATTCCAAACCAACCTCGTTCCCTATCCAAGAATCCATTTTATGCTTTCCTCCTATGCTCCTGTCATCTCTGCTGAGAAAGCTTACCATGAACAGCTTTCAGTTCCTGAAATCACAAATGCAGTGTTTGAACCATCGAGTATGATGGCAAAGTGTGATCCAAGGCATGGGAAGTACATGGCTTGCTGCCTTATGTACCGTGGAGATGTTGTTCCAAAGGATGTTAATGCTGCTGTTGCCACAATCAAGACAAAGAGGACTGTTCAATTTGTTGATTGGTGAGTAATCGTGCTATTGTTTGAATTGGTTTGTTAAGAGCAAACTCTAGTTCCTTAAAAGAAGATGAAAAAAACTTGTTTGTGCTTGGCCCTTTTATTATCAGCCGAACACAAACAATGAGTTAGGCTTCATTTGGGATAGTTTTCGTGCTGCTTTTTAAAATAACTTTCTAGTTAAAAAAATTTAACAACAAGAACAACAATATCAAGCCTTTGTCTTACTATGTGGGGTCGGCTACATGAATCCTTTTTCGCATTGTGTCTAGTTAAAAGTCAAATTCTCATTTAAATCTAATAAAAAAAAGACCATTTCTAATATTTTCTAACCAAGTCTTTTTAGGTCTACATCTACCTTTCTTAACAGAAGTCGAATCTAATGCCTCAACTTTCCTAACCGGGTCATCGGAAGGCCTCCGATTAATGTGACCAAACCATCTAAGGCAACTCTTTCTAATCTTATCTTCCACTGGAGCTACTCCAACCTTTTGACGGTTGTGCTCATTTCGTATCCTCTCTCTAAGGGTCAAGTTACTCATCCACCTAAGCATCCTCATCTCTGCAACACCTAACTGTTCAAATTCAAATTCAAGAAAATTTTGCACTAAAAAGCTGATTTAGAAAGCAAGAAGAAAGCCGTCCCAAACGAAGCCTCAGTCATAAAAATCCCATTTGTTATATTTTGTCTTGAAATCAGAACTGTTGGGAGTAAAACTGATCAAACTAAGCATTTGCGCAATCTAATTTGCAGGTGTCCAACTGGTTTCAAGTGTGGAATCAACTACCAACCTCCTTCAGTTGTACCTGGAGGTGATCTGGCCAGGGTGCAACGTGCAGTTTGCATGATTAGTAACAACACTGCTGTTGCCGAGGTGTTCTCCCGCATTGACCACAAGTTCGATCTCATGTACGCGAAGCGGGCCTTCGTGCACTGGTACGTTGGAGAAGGAATGGAAGAAGGAGAGTTCTCAGAGGCAAGGGAGGATCTTGCTGCACTTGAGAAAGACTACGAAGAAGTCGGATCTGAGGTTGTTGATGAAGATGGAGAAGGAGAGGACTATTGAGTTGGTTGGAATGTGTGCTTTTCTATTAGGTTTGCTTCTAATAGTATAATTTGCTTTGCTTTACTATCTGTTTCTCATGTTGTCAGCTTGTCTTTTGATACATTTTGAGGCTTTTTTCTTCTTTGAATTCGTCTATTTTGGATTATTTAATGTTTTCTTGTTGCTAAATGTATTCTAGACCATTCGGGTCACTAGTTTGGGCTTCTTCTTGCTGCTTTGTCTACATTTGGAGCTCTAGAACTTGTAATCTTGTATCTTAATTATTCTAGGGTCAATTGATGATGACAAAAGTGAAATGGGAAGATCACAAGCCAAAATCTCTACGCAAAGTGACTACCTTTCTTACCCAACGCTTGGACTTCAGCAAAAATGGCAATCTGATCTAGGCTTGGCAACGCTGCTGCGTTGAATCGGATTAATTATTCTGTGAGGATGTCGAATGTCGTCCGGAAATCAATTAGAATGCGCCACATTATCCTGTGCTTGGTACCATGGTTTGGTATTGTTGATGTGACGCATTCTGGTTGGTCTTCGAACGACGTTCTGCATCCGGTCTCTGCACAGAATAAAATTGAGATCCACGGACGCCCCAACGATAAGATTGAGTGATTTGTCCAGAAATTCCTGAATCTGGTGAGGTGTGGCACCGAGGTGAATGAATTTGTGGCCATCACAAGCAGTGAATTGCGCTTACAAAGCTGAATTGTAGCAAAGGAGGATGCCAAAATTAAATACATTATGTAGAAAATTCGTAGAACCAGCCACTGAAAAGGTGCACAACAAATCTGGACCATCAAAATGCGTTCGTTGTTTACTAACGTAGCCACCGCTCAAATGAATATCCCAGTAGGTGGCAATTTCAATTATTTGATGAGGAAGTTTTTAAAGATATTCACTGTTTCCGCTAGTGCCATACAATCTTCAAAATAACACTCAGGCTTCCTTCAAGATAGTTTTTTTTTATTGATTTTTAAAATAGTTTTTTTTAGTATAAAATTTTAAATTAAAAAAATTATAATAAAAAGTTGATTTTATAAAGCAGTAAGAAAGTTATTTTAAATGAAGTCTAAAGTTTGTGATCTCTTGATTTTGATCATGGCAACTTAATATGAGAGTTTGATATGTTTGTCATAGAAACACCTATGAGCAGGGTTGTTAAAATTAGGTTACGAGTTGGATTTGGGTCCAACCTAGAATTGATCCGACATAAGTTGATCTGACGTAAACCTGATTGGTTTGTGTGAATGGGTGACTTTTTTGAATCTGAACCCGACTTGCTTCTGACACGGTAACCCAACACGACCCGCCAACCCTGGTCAGCGACGGCGATGATACGGTGCTATCGATCCTCCGGCTACTGTCAACTTCTGACGTCGAGGTTGGATTTTGTTTGATTTTGAGCTGGAGCGGATGGAGGGGTGGCGACAGAGGCTGTGGCGTGCCGGCGTCGACATCATCAATAGCGGTAGGGGCAGATGCCGAGATGTTTATTGGTAGGGTCGACTAAGGGTGGCACGTGGACGGCACGCGAATAGTGGACGTCACGCTAATGACCCTCGAATGGCAGACGATTGAGCTAACACTTTGGATGACATGAGACTTGACACGACGAGACTTGAAGTGAATGTCTGAGCTGACCTGAGCGGGTCAATTTTTGGGTCAATTCGGGTCAATTTTGGGTTAGCGGGTTGGCCCGGATCTGACTTGTTTTTTCAAACGAGTCGAATTCTGGAACCCGAACCTGACCCATTTCCGAAATGGGTTAACCCTAATCCGAAATTTTATAGTCGAATTTTCAGGTAGTGCCAAATATTGACACCTCTACCTACGAGGGAAGGAGAATACTGTAGTTGAGAGAGTGGTAATAACAATGATTTCATTATCTCAATTAATGGCCAAATATAAGTAACAATCTCAGATTTATGTTCAAAGAGCAAAATGTTACCAAAATAGAGGCACCAGAGGCCATTGAAGGCCTGTTGCAGCAATTTAGTGATATGTTACAATGAACAAATTATCCTAGCTATTAGCACTAATAAGTCTTATGTTTTGTTTGAGACAACTTTTATATTGCTTTATAAAATAGCTTTTTAACTAAAAAAACTAGTTTATAAAGGACTAAGAAAGTTGTCCTGGAAATCTTTATCACTTGATCAACTTTACCTACTTTGCGAAGCGGATATAATCAAATTCTTATACATGCCAAAGACGAATGAAAAACTTCATTCAAAACTAGAGTGGTGAATCCCTCTCTCGAACTTTTATTAGGTCCTCTGACCGGACGTAGCTCTACGTTCGGTCATCACTGAGTTACTCGGTATTTGCTCGGTATTGCTAGGTATTGCTTGGCAATAATGAGAAATACCGCTCTGTGAAGACCAATACCGAGTAATACCGAGCAATACCGAGCAATACCGAGCAATACCAAAAAATACCGAGTTTTTCTAAAAAAACTCAGTATTTTTTGGTATTACTAGATATTACTCGATATTGCTCGGTATTTTGTCTTCACATAATGATATTTCTCGTTATTGTTCGTATTGCTCGGTATTTCTTGTTTTGTGCCTGCTATGTGGCGCGATCTCAGTGCCGGCCGAACGTAGCTCTAAGTACGTTCATCGGACCAAATAAAAGTTCCTCATATATACATTACAATTTACTTCCATGCTTCTCGAAATATTATTCTATATTTTTCACTTCATTGATATCTTAGTTTAAAAATAATATTAAATAAATATATTTTTAAACAAATTAAAAAAATTCAGTATGGAATATCAATTGCCATTCATAATCAAGCTGAGCTTTTTAAGTTCAAAATCAGTCCAATGGTTTTTGCTTTCAAGTGTACAATGATTCATAAACTATCAGCATTTGTGTTGAATAACAGCCACCTGTAACAGTTTATCAGCTTACAATTTCACAACTGCACTAACACTGTTTAGATTTTTTATATAAAAAATAATAATCTTTGCACATATATGAAGGTTTATTAAAATTTTTACATGCCAAAGTTTCCATATTTTTAATAATATTATATTTAAAATATTAAAAAAGCTATCCCAAACAAAATTTAAATATGAAAATTGATGAACTACTGAACCTCAATATAAATCAGAAGTAAACTAATAAAACAGACCAAATGACATATTCATTACTTGTTCCCTATCTAATCACCAGCTTGCAAGAAGATATTTCCATTTGATACGACAATGAACCAGTCCTATTTTCAGCAAATGTATAAAGAAGCAGCAGCAGCAGCAGCTGACAAAAGAAAGATAAAGAAATGAAATTTGACCTTTTTTCACCGAAGGAAATACCAGACAAAACCTTGGATGGTAAATAATAATAATAATGAAAAAATTTATGTGAGGATGGCCAAAATGTCCTTTCTATTATACTACGCCACAACCTTTGTTTTATGGTGCAAAATATTGATCATTAAAAGAGAAGCATAATATTAAGTGCTGCAGAGATGAGGATGCTTAGATGGATAAGTATTTTTACTCGAGACATGATATGAAACGAGCATATATGTAAATAGGTTGGAGTAGCTCCAGTAAAAGATAAGATTATAGAGAGGTTTGGTCACGTAAAATGGTGGCCTTCAGATGACCCGATTAGGAGAGTAGATGTAATAAATTTTGTTTATGTTAAAAAAAAGGTAGAGGCAGACCTGAAAAAAACTTGGTTAAAAAATATTAGAAATGACCTTTCTTTATTAGATTTAAGTGAGAATTTGATTCTTAATCAGACACAATGGAGAAAAAAGATTCATGTAACCGATCCCATGTAGTAGGATGAAGGCTTGATGTTGTTGTCGTGTTATAAGGTTCTCAGCCAAATCCAGGCTTTCCATGTTTTATCAAACATTTAAAAAAGTTAATTATGTTCCACCTACAAAATTAGTGAAAGAAAACTCACAACAAAACATATTGAAATTACCTTCCACTTCAGGTTTGAAATTCATTATAAGGTTAGCAAAATGTTATTTACACCCATCTACAAGCAAGTAAATGCATTATCATTGCCATTTCTCTGCTATATTTCAATACAAAAAGATGATCTTCATCCCACCACTTTTTGAAATATAGTCAAAAGAGCTGATTGACTTAATTTTCAAGCTAAAATCTAAACCCCATGCCCCCAAAATAGCTACACATAAAATTACGATATTTGAAGCATAGAGGAAGAATACTACGACTCCATGTGCAAAGAACCTCTTTGAGGAGAAATTATTATGACAGAGTTCGGATGTAGCTTTTCGTTCAGACTTCAATCACATAAAGACATTTAAATTTTCTCTCTTATACATACCTTATGTACAAAAAGGAGAAAAAATCTAATGTCTTCACCTGATTGGGGGCCCGGACGGCGTCGGAACTCCGCACGTAATAATTTTTCCTCTTTGATACTCTAAATCCTGTGCATTCACGATTGCTCCGTCTACACTCAATGCCTCCTAGTCTCAATTTTTGGCAAACCTCCTAATCATTAGTGGTGAAATTAAGTGACATGAACGGTTGGGCCACACATTGGTTGATCGAATAACTCAGTCATGCAGGCTTGAGCTAGTGAGGGAACATGCTCCCCCTCCTAATGCCAAAAATGATCCCATTCTTCTAGTAAATGGATAAATGGTTTCTTAAAGGTTCATGGAAAAAACCTTCTTGAATTTAGATGGATCATCGTCTCATCAACTTCTTCGAATTTCATGTATATTTTATGAACATCTACAATAGAATTATAATTAGATAAATAACATGCTTCCAACGAATATTTTCATGCAAATTCTGCATATGAATAATGGATATGAAGACTGTTAGACCGGTCCAGCTGGTCCGTGCGGGACCGGCCCAGCGCGGACTGGGCGGAGAAATCTCCGCCCGCTGTGATGCCGAGCGAGCCGCACACCGTGTGGGGGCTTATTAGGAAGCTTTTTTGAGGGTTTTGAGAGGGAAATTTGAATGTAAGGACTATTTAGGGATTTCCTTTTGATTTGTTTGCATTAAATAGTTTGTTTTCATAGGATTTGGGCATCTTGAATTTGGCTGAAATTTGAGATCTCTTAGATTTAGGTTTTCTTTGGGCTCTAGCGGCGTCTAGAGATTTGGGAGAGATCGATCCTCCTCTCGAATTGAGGATCAGGTGTATCTTGCTATTTTCCGTGTTCCTTTCATCAAATCATACAAGTTATATACTGTTTTTGTGGTTTCTGTGCGGACTTTTGTGAATATTTTTGCTGTTTTTCAAAGATTGATAGGAAACACTTGAAAACTACAAGTGTTTCTTATTAAATTGGTATCAGAGCAAGTCGTGGGACCGGTGGAGGGCTGATTTCAGCAAATTTCAGCAGTGATTAATTGCCCGGAAGGAAGGGGAAATGCTGTTTTTGAAGTTCCAAATCCAGAATTTGTGATTTTACAAACTCAGGATTGTGATGGTGGTCGAAAAGGTGGATGCTCTGGAGGAAAGACTTGAAGAGAAGATGAATCAAATTAAAACGACGG